TGAACAAACAAACAAACAAAACAAACCCACCCCCACCCTCCCCCCAAAAAAAAAAAAAAAAGAGGCAGGTAACAGTACCTGCATTGATTTGCCATTTAGAGGCCTGGCATAAATAGCCTGGAAAACAGTGCTGGGGATCACTACACAATTTTGTTAGAATCAAGATCTGCCCGCTGATGCTTGATATGCTGCATCCTTGAAAACCAGGAGTTGACAGGACTCACTGCTGCTTCTTTGAAGACATCTCAGAAGCCAGCGGTTTCAATGAGCCTGACTGTCATCAGAGCCAAGAATTGAATCTGCATCTTGTCAGCCTCTGACAACCAGAGGAAGAAAACGTGAAAGAAGGAACAGCTGCTTGGATTCAGTACCTCTGGGGCTGAGGAACACAGATACAGTAAAAAAGTACTGAAGTAAAGGAAAGAACAAGTTATACAAAACAAAGGAAAAGACGTCCAAGTAGATGGCTGCAGTTTCTAGTTCTGAAGTTTCTTCTTAATCCTGGTTAAACAACCTTAGCACAGAGGGAGAATTGAGGAAACTTCCACTTCTTGCCTCCTTCCCTCCAGAGCAATTGCATGGATGGGTAAGAAATACAACAAGATTATGGCAGGAAGCAAGATAATGCAATTAAGAGGGCAAACCAGCCTATTACAGTTGAGGCTGAGACATTTATAGAAGAAAATCTGAAGACAAACTATTTTTTTCATGCTTTTCCTATTATAGCTAGGAATGGCAACGTATCAACACATTCTGCATTCTGCCATCATGTATGGTTTCCAACATCTGCTTCTGACTTACTCCATCCTTAATTGTTGGAAATTGTGTCTACAACTGAAATTTAATAACCCCTCCAGATGGACTCAAAATAGCATAGCTCTCTCCTAACAAAATAATCCAACATGAACATGAGGATTCCTAAGAACCTGTGGCTTTTGCTTTGATCATAACTCACTGCTGGAATTAGGCATGGGCAGATCAGAGATTAACACAGCAGAAGTAGAACAAGATGCCTTATCTCCCTGACGAAAGCCTACAACTTGCCATGCCTCCCCTTTGGTCTGGCTTGCTCAACTGCTGGCCAAGCACTTCAGCAGATAATCAAGATCAAGGTTGAAGGAAGAGCAATCAGATAATCTTAAAAACTCGGGAAATTAAAAGGTTTAAGGTTTAACTATTTCAATACACTACTCTCCTTTGCAGATTTAATTAGAAGTCTCCAAGAAGACAGATGATCAGAGCCCTATCTGGAAATATTTCAATATTTAAAGGATTTTCACAGTTTAAAAATATTTTGGAGGTCTCATCTGCTGTAGGCTAAGACAGTAAGAACTGTTGTGGCATGTAGCAAGCCACCATGGACGGCTGTTTCATATGAGCAACTGTTCTGTAGAGTTAGCCACAGCCTTGGGTCACCTGTGAAATGAGAGCCCTTACTAAAGCCAACAAGAATTCAGAGAAGCAAACAGGTCACAATCAGAAAAAGCACAAGAACAGAAGGACAGCTGCTCCTCTTCCTACTAAAAAGCTACAGGAGTTACACAGCAGGACTGGGCTTCAGATGGCTTTAAAAAGGCATGAGTAAAATTCATTACAGTGGAATGCCAACAAGGCAAAGAGCAGGTCAGCAGCTGTCTAGAAATAGCCATTGGAGTTTAATTTAGAGTAACACTGGACCAAAAAGGCTGGGACACCAAGTTGACATTGCTAAGCTTAGATCCCTACAAACAGTTTTGTCACTGGAGGAAAGGGTCTGAAATTTCTACTTAAGGGAAGAGGAACAGCAGATACTTCACAAACCTGACTGAGGCACGCATCACCAGATCTGAAAGAGGGTGTAGCTGGACACACCAGCACCCTTGTCACTACCAGCTGGGTATCATCACAGCCACATTTCTGCCATCAGCAACAGCTATGCTCTGCATCTGCTTCGGTGTCAAATCTGCCAGTTCAAACTTTCAGCAGTAACTTCAACCAGCCTGTCTGACTTGGCTCTGATGCACGTCAGCAGTTTCACATGTTGCTCCCCTACAGCTCACCAGCACCTCAGCTCCTCAGCTCCTCATTGCTGATGACTTTCAAAGACAGGAAATGTATCTTCCACCAGTAACACTTGCAAAGCAGAGACAAACAGTTCCATTTCAGCAGCAATGTCAGTCAGGCAATTAAGCTACCTTTGAGTACACCGACTGCCTGCTCAGAGGAGCAAGGCACTGTTATCAGACAATAATGCTTCATGGATTTAGAGTACTTTCCCCTAGAGACATTTCTAAAATACTTGCATATATGACTAGATTAAGATTTCAGCTAAATGACTGCAACCAGAAAACAGAATCTACTTAGTACAACAACAAAACAAAAAACAAGGCTTGCATTACAGACTGCTTTGTCTTGCAGACTGTTTATCTAAGTAATAAGATCAGTATAAACAGGTTGAAATTAAAACTAGTTTCAGCCTGAAAACACATGCCAGCATACACTGACACTGATGGAAGAAATACAAGAGGATTCTGAACTTCTACCCAGAAAAAAGTCTTAAGTACAAAAGCCACAATCAAGATCCAGAACAGACACCAAAACGTTTCATATGGGCTTACCAGGATGTACAAATCTCAGCGTATGTTCTCTGAATAGTTAGATGGAATGAAAGAGTTAGGCTGCACCCTGCGTTATTTTTTTTCCCCTCCTTTCTGATTTATAAAAAAAGCTCAGAGCTTTTTCCTGTTGAGAAACTCAGATCATTATTTTTCCCACTGGATGACAGAGGACCATAAAATTAGCCATTTTATTACTGATAAGAAGTAAGCTGAAAGGAATGAGAGGCAGTTCTTAATGTGTGTCTCATTACATAAATCACTCAGCCTAAAAACAACTGGAAACAGTCTCAGTAAAAGTGAATGAAAAAGCTTTTCTGTCAGAAAGTTTCAACACACAAGTTTCTCCCCCATCCTCAATACTGTCTTATAGAATTTGCCCGAGAGCTAAAATGAAATTTCTGAAGTACTGCCATGAAAAAAGTGTAACATGAAAACAGCTGGAAAATACCTCTCAAGGTACCCTTCTGCATAAAGAGTAGCAACAGATCATTCTCCAAGTTCTTCTGCCAATTTTAGCAATTCCCCAGCCCCCAAATGATTCATTTTAAGTGAGAAAATTTAATACTGGTTCATGGAAATGTTAGGGGGGCTGATAACACTGCTACTAGTCTTTTATTGTATGACCCTGGTCTTCAACATATGCAACAGAGTAAGAAGCAGTGAGCTTTCATAGCCTTACTCGAAGCACCACATTTAATGCCAGATCTACACAAGGGTCAATTATCAGTCAGTATAACAAGGAATCACATTCAAAGTGAATATTACATGACATACAGGTCATCTTTCACACCACCAAGAGGCTGATTCTGAAGCAATGGTTATTTTTCTAGAGATTTTGCAGTGTGGCCTTTACAGAAACAACATTTGGAGGTTCAAGGCTGAGGCTAATCCTGACTTGGTTCTGACAGAACCCCACCATGAAAATGCTAGTAAAGACAGCTGTACATTTTCTTCAAAGAGGTTGTGAACTCTCCTGAAAAAGGCCAAGAACATTGCTGCAGCCTCTCCTGCACCCCTGAAATGCCATTTCCTCATATTCTGGAAACTTTCACATAGATAAACTTTTTATACACACAGCTAAACTACTTATGTTAAACTGGCAGGAGATTCTTTTCTACGCGCAAACAGACATCGTATCTTTAATGACCTGTTATGTATCCCTCGCAGCAAAGAGAAGGCATTGCTTAATGACACACTAGCACATGAGACATTAAAGCCCTTTAAGACAGTCTTAAGTTGGCATGAAATTTGATTGCCCCCAAGAGAACTGCTAAAATTCTCTAAAGATGATCTTCAAAGACACATGTTTTATGGTCATTGTTGAGCTCTTGTGGAAAAAGCCAACAGGTTTAGACAGATTTTTCCACATCATCTTCTGGCATTTTACAGTCCCTTCAGTATTAAGCCCAGAACAGAAAAGCCAAGAAGTCTTTTTTTGAAAAGCAAGAAAACAGGGTTTTTCTTTTCAGCTTTCAATTCATTTTCACTAGGGTGCCAGGAAAATCAAGTCTTCCTGAAGACAGGCCCAAGATTTAGCAAGAGTCCTTTGTGTGATCATCCAGAACTTGATTCCATTTCTTGTCTTGACTAACTTAAACAGAGATCCTGGAAAATACTAGGACATCAAATAAAGCACTACTGATAAGAAGTTTTCAAACTCTCTCCCTCAAACAAAAAAAGCTCTTTCTCCAATGTCTGAGAGAATAAATCCAGAAAGGGGAATTTTCCCTGGCTCTGTGTTAACTGGGCAGTAATTTGAAATTACCCAAGTATTTCCAGTTATTTTGTCAACTAGAACAAGCAGGCAAAGTAATCCAAGCTCTGAGGATTGATACTGTACAAACCAAGCTACACCCACACTGATGTTCTACTCCCTTTTTAAGGCCATACTCTGACATTACAGGAACAGCTCTGCCCAAAATAGAGGTGATTTAAAGTTCCTCACAAGGGCAGCCAACACATAAATAAGTTAACATCAATGGAATGGCTGGTTACCAACAAGCCATCAGCACCATGGAGGCCTCTAAGCTGCAAGTGAGAAAAAGGTCAAGGAACCAGCCTTGCAAGAGGAGCTGCAATTCTCACAAAAAAGCTAGTGGAGACAGTTGGGCTCAGTGGGGTTAGTTGCACACTTCTCCAGTTCAAAAGCTTGTCCTACACTTACAGGGCAAGATGAAGAAACTTTGTGGCAGTTAGGAACACGGTTTAGTGGTGGATTTGCCAGTGCCAGGTTCAAACTTGGCTTTCATGATTTTAAAAGGTCTTTTCCAACATAAATGACTATGATTCTATGAAATGTCTTAATCCACAAGAAGGAAGCTTAGGAGGCAAACAAGGGAATGGATGTTACAGGAAGACAGCTTTTTATGTTGCCTTTTAGGGTAAAGAAATTGGGCCACTCACCTCCACTAAGTAACTTCATCACCAGCCAAAGCTCATCTTTCACCACGAACGATGTGTAGTAAGATACAATGTTGGGGTGATGGCACTGACTCATGGCTTGAATTTCTTTCTGTAGAGAAAAATAAAACATTAGCAGTTGGACCTCGTGATTATTCTTCTTAGGGCACACAAGTTATCCTCCTCAACACACAATGTTCAAAGAGGGTGTAAAGAAAAAGGATACCTAGAAGCTAAACATAGAAAATCCAGAAATACTCTTAACACTCAGCCTGCATCATACTAGGGCCCAAAGGTATTTTAGGGTGCTCCTCCCATCTGTTTAGAAGAAAGAAAAAGTTGACCAAAAATCTCTTGGCAAAGGCAACATAATGGTCAGAACTGGAACACCTGCATGCAGCTATAGCTGAACATCCCCCAAAATTCACACCAGTTTGTTACCCAGGAAGTTCATGCTGACTCCTCCTTTCAATGAGACATGACACAACAGATGCTTAATCTGTTGAAGACTATCATTTGGATGAGAAAGGGAAATATTTGCCTCTGGGAAAAAAAAGGCCTCTTATTCCTAATATTTCTTCCCAGCAGGAAAGCAGATGGCTGAGCTCAATCAGGTTGAAGGCACAAAGGACAGCTGTATCTTTTGTCATACTGGAAGAAGAGGGAAATCGGTTTGAGATTAGAAAGTCATTAGCCACTACAGATGGAGTACAATATGAAATATGCTCAGATATTAAACTAACCCTGTTTTGACTGTGTTTATTTTTCAATTTGGTTATGGGCTAAGGGTTGAGGTTTTCCAGGTTATGGAGGAACACCAGCACAGACAACACTGGTTTTTCATGATGCAAGCACAATCACCATTTTAGACAGAAAGTCTTGCGGTTTCTTGACTCTCCATAGACAAAAGCCATCTATTAATCCAAGCCTGGCACGCTGAACTACACTCAGCTGGGCCTTTGTGCTTCAGCCAAGCTGCTAGCTCCAGCCAAGCTCCCAACCTGTCAAGTTGTACCCTCCAGCATCACCAACACTAGACACTCATCCCCCAATATCCCTAACTTCTGCTCTCAGCTAAGACATTCCTGCACTGAACACATGGATACCACTTACTTTTCAAAGGTTTAATCAATCTCACTGTCAGCTCCCTCCCCATGATACAGACTCAGCCAAGCACCATAATCCCAAACACACAGAGAAGGAGAGAATGAGGGCCCCTCACACCATGATCCTTCCCTCCCTCTGAGCACAAGACCTCCCTGGCACCAAAGAACAGGAAAAAGGTCTGAGAAAGACTCCCCCGTGTCTAGAACACCCCACAAATACAGCAAATTCTTCTCCTGCTTATGTACAAAGCTCTGTTTGTGACTGAGTATAGTGTAAAGGCACACTGCTTCCCCCTTGGCAAGAGTCTGGCTGGCAATCACAGCTAAAAAGAAACATGCTAATGTTGATTTATCCACTTCAATACTGCTTTTCAGGGAGTAGGTGCATTTGAGGAATCAAACGCAACTGGTTTCTCTTTCTGCTTCTCCATAGAGGCACCAACTTTCCAGGAAACTCCAATAAGAAGATTAAAGAAGAATCCTTCTAAACAGGAAAGGATATTTGAAGAGTGGGGAGCAGGCCATTCATCTTCATGTAGCATACTTGTTGACTAAAAACCACCCTGTGAAAATAAATACAGCCTGAAACAATATCCTCTGCTTACTCTGACAGCTCCAGCTTCCTTGCAAACACTTGCTTGCATCAAGCTATTTTTCAAAAAGGAAATAAATCAGCACCTTTTGAGTCTCCTAATGTCTTGTAGTTAGATCCTTCACAATACAGAAGTAAACCCCGACAGACAAAACTGGCCACAAATGTGTTTTTACCTCCCTGCTTCAAACTTCTGACAGAGGATGGACGGGAACTGGGGCCCCAGATAACACAGGTCAGACTCAGCAACTGTTTTGTGCCCTGTTATATGGCTTGCACAAAACCCATCTGGTTGGAAAGCTGTGAGCTGCTATCTGGAAACACAAGTGTAACACCTTTGATTCACAAAACCTTTCCAAAACTCATTGAGCTCACAGTTCTGAACTCATTTGCTTACGCTAGCATCATCTACAGGCTGAGAGAGTTGGACTTGTTCAGCCTGGAGAAGAGAAGGCTCCTTAAAGCCTTCAAGTACCTAAAGGGGCTGACAAGAAAGCTGGAGAGGGGCTTTTGACAAAGGCATGTAGGGACAGGATAAGGGGAATGGCTTTAAACTGACTGAGGGGTGACGTAGGTTAGATATTAGGAAGAAGTTCTTCCCTGTGAGGGTGGTGAGACACTGGCACAGGTGCCCAGAGAAGCTGTGGCTGCCCCATCCCTGGCAGTGTTCAAGGCCAGGTTGGATGGGGCTTGGAGCAACCTGCTCTAGTGGAAGGTGTCCCTGCCCGTGGCAGGGAGTTGGAACTGGATAAGTTTTAAGGTTCCTTCCAACCCAAACCAGTCTGGGATTTTATGATTCTGTGATTTTGGTCTTGCTCAGAGCACTGGACTAGCCCCTAGTTGAGGAATCCACAAACCTGACAATCTTGGTCCCAGACCCTGAAATCAGCATTCAGCCTAAAGTTTTTAATTCAAACATTATTCCCCCCACTCCTTTTAAACATGCAAGCAGATCCAGGTCCCTAATTTCTCTCTCTGGCCATTAAAGACCCCACACATGCATGAGTGCCACCAGAGGAAGCTCATGTGGAAAGCAGCAAGCAGGACACCGACTGGTTAATCATCCCATCAGCCAGACCTGTCACAAAGCCACCACTCTCAGAAATGATCTAGAGATGCTGTTTTTGTCTTTTCTTACCTAAACCACTCAAATATTTTGAACCAGCTCCCTGGGAGATTGAGTAGCAGCACAAAAAATATACACAAATATATTTTATATATATTAGCGTATCCCACTGGAATTCAGGAAACAGTGAGACAAAGTCTGGACCAAGTTTACTTAAGAGCCTAGACCTGGATCACATCTTTGCCATTTGAGCAGCACTGTACTACAACATTTTGCAGGCGTTCTGTGACACTTAGTTACTATTATTTTCCAGGAACTTCCTTTCTTGTTCATTACCACAGGCTGCTCCCAGTTTATAAAGGGAAAAAAAAAAAAAAAAAGGCACAAGTCTGTCATATGCTTTGGTGCACAAAGAGAGAATAAATAATCACAAACCTGATGTATGCAATTAAACACCTCTGTCAGCTAGCGGATGTGCAACATAGGCACATTAAACCCTTTCTCACACAGCGTAGCACAGCTCTGAATAATTAATTGCATCACAGCCCACGATTTCCAGTGTTTTTCATTAGTATCAATAAGAAAGAGCAGCAGTCAGACAGGCTTTCCCTCTCACCCCCAGACCCACCCCCCCCAGCATTTTCAGTAGCATTCTAGGCTAATCTCACACTGTCTGCAGCAAAGCTTCATTACTTTTCACCCCCCCCACAGGGTACCAACATCCTGGAGGCTCAATACATACAATCAATTTTAACCGATCATGGCAAATCACAGTGGGCTTTGAGGTTAAAACGCTTCCTCGCATAGTTGAAACCAAGCCAATTCTGTTGTATGTACAACAGTCTGTGCTACAGCAGTAAAAATACAGGGCTGAAGAGCTGTAGTTAAAACAGGAATCCTAGTCAAGGATCACCAGGGAGCTCTGCTCAAAAGCATACTTACAGAGGGAGGAGGAGGGGATAAAATGCAGCAACAGCCCTTCTGTGTAGACAGCACAGCTTTAATACTATTTCAAAAGTTTTTCAGAGAGTTTTCTGTTCTTCAAACACAACCAAGTCATAGCAGGCAAAGATTTCCTCTCCCTATCCCCTCCCTAACAGGACAGCAAATTACACGAAGAAGAAGAAATAACTGAGTTACTGTGCTCCCCCAATTTTCACTAGCAACAAAACTATATTGGAAGACTTCTAATAAGCATCTCAGCAATTTCAACACCTCTGTAATAATGTCAGTGTTAAACATCACAATTTATGTGGGCTTCTATCTAAGATGGCAATGTTGCTGTATTCCCACTCCACCAACAGACTTGGATCACTTGATACAGACCCCTCAGCTCACCTGCAGATCCAGGGGACAGTATACAGCTCTTCTGTCCACTGCTTACACTCCAACATTCCTCACACTAGATAGGTTCAGTGATGAGACACAGCCTTCCTCCCCAATTCCAGGATCCATAAATTACACTGCCTTCTGCTTAGCTCTAGAGAAATGAATTACCAATAAAAACATGTCTAGACACAGGCAATGGTTTGGAGATGGTTACATGCTCACCCTCAGCTAGATATTAAAAATATCTGCACTGTCAAATACCAAAAGCAAATAGACTGGGATTAGCTACAGAGGCCTCCATGTCTTCTATTAAGGCTTCTGACAAATGTTTTCAGTACTTGTGTCAGCATTAAAGAAACATTTCAAGACTTGCAAAACACTAATAAAGCTGCTGTGAAGTATAATTCAGAATCATAAGAAACCTATTAGTCTCCTGTAAGCCAGACATATTCCTGAGGACCTGTTATTTTGGAAGTGGGTTTATTTGCCCACTGACATACAACTGAAGTTTGAGTTAACAGGAACAGAGATAAAAAGCAGGCAGGGCTGTGTTTAAGCTACTAGCTGAACTTTCTTACTGGTATTTTCAGCTCACATCATCACCTTCTATTCTTTGTGTTTATCTGCCCCTGAGGCATGCTTCAAAGATGCCTGCTCTCAAATACAAGGATGAAAATCATGCTTTGTTTAGTTTCACTTCCTACATGTTGACATAAACTCAAGAGATAAAACACAGCAGTAGTATGCTTTTATGTGGCTACCTGCAATTTCAGAGGAATCCAGAAAGCTGTCAAACTGGCTGCCCTATTTGAAGGCAATCACGACCTTAAGAGATTTGGGGAAGGGAAGCATACCCAGGGATGAGACCAAACAGGTCAGATGCGATCTCCCCCTTGAATACACCAGTGCTTCAACTATGGCTGGCAAAAAACTTCCCTCTCAGCTGAAATCTCAAGGTATAAGGCATTTAAGCTCCTCTTTATCATTTTAAAGCAGGATTTAGAGCTCCGTTCCTACAG